TTTTCTTTCATTGACATACAACATAAAATTTGACAGCCTTGAAATTTCTTTTTATTTATTGTATTTCTCTTTTTTTTTTCTTATTACTGATTGATAGCACATAAATATTGATATTTTTTCAAAAGGGCTTGATACAAGTTTAAAATTTGTCTGATACAAATTTAAAAATATAATTTTTAATTTTTGCTATCATACATCTAATAGTATAGTGTATGATTTCCTCTCAAATTTATTTCTTGTTAATTGCTTGCATTATGAGATGATTGACCTCCATGCAAAGGATCATTAAAAAAAAAATGGCTTTTCACGAACCCAAAGAGTTTTTTTTTTTTCTCTCTCTTTTTTGTTTCTTTCTTCGTGATGGGATTTTTTAATTTCAGAATGAATTGTATCATGACAAAATATTAAAATAAGAAGCATATATTATAATATATTGTGACATGGGTTTTGAAGAATAATAATTGTTTAAAAATGGGTTATGGCAGAAGAAGAATCAGAGAGCAGAGAGTCCAGTTTCTTGTGAAAGTAGCATCACCATTGAAGGGATGAGCAGAGCATGTCGGTACAGTCCAGAGGAGAAGAAGGAAAGAATTGAAAGATATAGAACAAAAAGAAACCAGAGGAACTTCAACAAGAAGATTAAGGTAATTCATATTCTTCTTTATCTGCCCCTACTTGGAAATTTTATGGATTAATTCTCTAGAATAATTCACCCCCTTATTGTACCTACATATAATTTCATAGATTCTAGATGCCAACAACTATAGAACTTGTTTTCATTATTGTCATTTATAACTTTCACGTTTAATAATTCAATTATTATTAGTGCATACAGTTTAGAGGATAATATAATGTTTAGGTTGTATGTTTTGCAATTATATTCTTCATTATATGTGGGTACTTGTACTTGTGTGTTATTTCAATTTCATCCTCTTTTTGCTTTTGTCACATCTAGCATTATGAGAAGCTCCAAATCACCCCTTTTATTCGCTCTCTCTCATTTTATTTTAAAGGTTTGAAAGGTCATTTTCTGATATTTTAAAACCATCCCTAAATTGGATTCTAATGATAGGACAATCAATCCTTCCTCTAATCAACATAATTGAATCGAAATTTTGTAGGTATAACTCATTGTTTTCTTAAAGATTCTGGCTGATAATAACTGGGTTTTGTTGCAGTATGCTTGTAGGAAGTCGTTGGCCGACAGTCGACCACGGATCAGAGGAAGATTTGCAAGGTACAACGACGACGTCGTGAAGAATTATCCAGTGCAATGGAGTAGTCATGGGCGAGAGGAGGAGGAGGAAGAAGAAGAGGCAAATGGTGGTGATAATTGGATCAAGTATTTTATGGATGCATATTCTGCGAACCTTATTCCATGAATCTCACACAACAAGAAGAATAATAACAATAAATGTAGTTGCAAGCAATCGGCCTCTTCCATTTTGACTGCCTTTCAATTGCGTGAGAGTTCAATATTTTACCTCTTTTGGCTTCCTTCTTTTTTTCTTCCTCTTTTTTGGAGATGTATGGAAAAGAAAAGGCTTCTGAGTTAGCTTAAATAAGTATATTAGTGTTAATAATGATGAAGAGAATGATGTTAATTGGGTTGTGAATACTGAATATGAGGGCCTTTTTTGTACCTTTTTATCTTCTAATCAAATAATGGGACTCTTTTTCAAATTTTTTGTGAAAAGGACTTGACATTGATGGGTATGTATGTAGTAGCTGGGTGGGGCTGAAAATTGCGCTCTTCTTGGAATTGATTCGAGCCTCTGATAAACGCCAAGATAAGTCAAAAAGATGGAGAGAATTTCAGTCCCTGTCATATAGAAAGAGAACAGCAAAATGGATTGCAACTTAGTTTGGTGACAGTCGCAATCCAAATTTCATTCCAT